CATGACATTCGTTTTTTACTTTTTTTGATTTGTGCCTGATTGAATCGGAGAAAACGGTGCTCGACTAAATTGTCTGAAAAACAACAAAGCTGGCAGAGCTTTGTGATATAATGGGAATATTTCAAATGCAGCGTTTATCTACGACTACACAACAGAGAAAAATCAGATAGTTTGTGAAAACGGACACAACAAACGCCTAATTCATAAGATCGGAGATTGAATTGCAAGTGGTTAAAGTGCGAGCCTGGTTCTATATTCAACCTCTTATTGTTAACTATTCAACCAACAACTTGTTTTTCCGTCTCTTACCTTGTCTGAGGGTCTAAATTCATCAGCTCCTACATAAATCTTTCAAAATAACATGGCTTCAATAAAAGAAAAAGCCTCAGTCATTTCTTAGTAACATTTGGAGACGAGAAGATTTTAATCGAACCAAAGAAAAACAGAGCGATGAGTGTGGACTATTTTTAGCTGCAGATTATTACACATTTGGTGTTTATTCCTGCAGCAGGACAGTGAGTGTGGGATTGACTCAAAATAAATTACTGTTACCATGTTTATGGTAATGAGGAGACGTGTCACCCAGTGTGGCTCGCTGATGGGATTCTGGACAATGCAGAAAGGGAGAGAGGAATAAGATACATCAGGCTTCAGAAACACAGAGAGCACTGGTAAGGGGGATCGTTTGCTAGATTGGGTCTTTTCGTGGAATTTCTTGACAGTAAGAGGAATATAGAAAATCACCAGCCTCCTTTTTTATAGATGATGGTATACAGTATGAACACTAAGAGGCTAATAGTGGATCGAAAAAGAACCAACTATTGTGTGTTAACCCTGTTCCCGAGAGGTCAGGAAGGGGTGGCATGGTGGGGGTGGTGGTCTCTCTGAGCCCCATTTGAAGCCCGGCGAGGCCGTGGCTCATTTCTCAAACTCATCTCAGATGCACCCACATGGGCCTAACGAGAGCCCATGTAGGGACAAAAACCTATTAGGCCTCCCCAGTTACAGACAGCATCTCCATTTACAGCTGTCAATAGTACAGCTTGGCCTACAATAATTATCCCCCAGGAAGGAGCCGTCTCTGCGCGGTTCGCATTAGTCCGTCCCCGGGAGACCACCAACCTGAATCCTTCGATATCTAAAGTCCCTGTGAATAGCGGCGCTTTGGGAGGCAGGATCAAGGCCTGAACTGAGGGGGAAGTGTGTCGCGAGTATTCCCAGTCCTCCCCTCTCTGCATCCCTCGCCTTTAACCAGATGTATCAGTGTGTGTGTGTGTGTGTGTGTGTGTGAGGAGGGAGAGAGTCGGCTCGAGTACAGTAGTAGAAAAGAGATCAGCATGAGTAGGAATAAGAGGAGGAGGAGGAGGTGGAGGAGGCCGCTGAAACTAGAGAGCCTGGGCAATTCCTCACATATAAGGATCGCCTCTTCTCGATGACCGAACCATTTAGGACGATACCGAAGCCGTGTACAGTTAAGGGGGAGATTCAAAACAGCCCGACCAAAGAAGCCACAAAAAAGAAATCAATAGATGCAACAATAACAATAGACATCAGCACAGAGGAATGCCATGATAGAAAATCCAATTACAAATCAAAGCGAGGCAATTTTAGAAAACGGGAGATCTCCGGATAAGTCCGAGGCAAAGACAGAGAGAGAGATGTGAGACGTAGACAAAAACAACCGCTGCTTTTTCCTCTTTAGACATAAGTAACACCCTGTTTCTCACCCAACAGCATCCTCTTAGATAATAGAGTTACATTTACGAGCGTTGCCATATGCCCACCCAGTGCCTGGTAAATAGAAAATCCATGCGATGCCATGTTTTTATGGCTCTGAAGACAGCTACTAACTACCATGAGCAAACCCGAGCTACCCCGTCAGCTTTGGCTCGTACCATAAATATATTTATACTTTAATACAGGCCTACAGCAGCGAGCATTGCATCCCGTAAAAGCCTCCCCACACTGTAATTCATAACTCCCTCAATATCCAGCGCCATAACTCACGAAATGAGCCACTACAATACAAATTGGCGGTGGAAGAAAAGTGACATCATCCTGCGGAAGGATGAAGTCGGCACCCCATGTGGTGGAGAAACTCTCCCCGTGTCGAGAGGAGGATCGGCCCTTCAGCAGTGGTGTGATACCGCCACTTTTTTTTGTAATCAGAAGCCCACAGTTCTCCCACCACACCGCAGGGAGTCTCTCCTTGTGCTAATGAAAACAAACATTTAGCTGGGATTTATACGCAGCACAGCTGACTACAAAGAGCATCAAAGCAAACTGCCTGAGAACACACACCCAAACACTGCTGCACACAAATAAAGGCAAGGTATGCTTTGCTAATCTTTTATGTAATAAACTCCTGTCTTCCTGTGATATCATGTGGCGCCATGTTCACACATAATAAGCAAAGCTGTTCCGAGCCTAACTTAATACAGTGTCTTATTTGAAATGCAAACAAACTGTGAGGCAGAGGCTATCACCTCAATCTATTCCCCTTCTGTTCTCTGGCTGTCATCTTACACGAGCCAACGCTGCAGCCCTGCACTGTGGTGAGGGGGGAGGAAGGAGGAGAGCAGCGGTGGTGGTGGTGTGTGTGTGGGGGGG